TGTTGTTGTTGTTGTTTTTTAAGGCCTTGTGTGACAGCATACACTCAGGCTATGTTCATACCTTAGCATATAGCTTTTTGTGTCAACACAAAAAGCTATTCAGTGTAGTATGGACATCAATGATGCAGAAATAGAGAAAGTTGTTTACCCACATCAAACATTGTGGAGGCCCTGCCAGGGGGGGAAGGTCCCACGTCGCTCATCTGAATTTTAAAACGTCTGGTGTCGGTGTTTATAACTGCTTGTCGCTTATTGTCGGCTTTGCCGTCACTGTCGCAATTTGGCCGAGGGAGGTTGTCTCTTGTCGTGATTTCATTTTACGCACTGCTGCTACTTTTTGGGCCATGTCGCTTGTCGGAATTTACCCTGGCAGGGCCTGATTGTGCCAGAGGGGTTGCCCAAGAGGGTTTGCTAAACTAAATCCCAGTCCTCACTCCTGAATATTTACTTCCATCTCAGTGGATTCCAGTCCTCACTCCTATTTATTCACTTCCACTATGGTCCTGCGAATACCCATTCACACTGTACCATAGTGTGGCACAGATCCTATTGTGATGCTCCACTTTCAAGGCTTTGCTCCATCACAGAAATCGTGCCAAAATCGCCATTCTTATGTATGAACAGAAGTCCCCTATCTGGTCTGGTTTTCATGCCAGCGCAAGAGCTATCCAGCATAATGTGGACATAGACCAACACAGGCTCAAGGGGCACGTGTCATTGTTTGTACAACAAGTCTAGGTGTATGTCCAAAGGATTAGTATTTAAAACTCACAGGACTTGTTGATAAGTTCTTGTTTTGTTGCCTGAAAGTGAAGTCACTGCATTAATAAATTTCATTGCCCCTTTTTATCCTGTAAGTGCTGAAAATCCATAATGATCCATTACTTTCTTTTGCCAACAAAAATTCATGAAAAATTATTGATTACTCCCCAAAATTTTATCTTCCCACGAACTTTCAGATTCTGTGAAATTCTTCTCTCAAAAAGACCTAAATATTATCGTTTATGGCTACCACTATCTTTCAACCTACCATACTTATTACAGCAACCTATTTTTTTTTTCATGAGTGCATGATTTGACAGAGCTCAGCTAGAAGCCATTATCTCACTATCAAGATATTAGATTGAAGCATATCTTGTATTTCATACATGACATGAAATGCAGCCACTATCCTGAATATGGGTGATGTTCTGGCCCCAGTTTAAGAGGGCCATGGCAGGACTTCTGTTGTGTGCTATGTCATCAAATAGTTCTCACAGAGTATGTAGGTGGCTATAAATCTGGCAGCTGGCTTTAAATCCTCATAATGATTGTTAGGACCACCTATTTTGTTCTTATTAGACGGCTTGTGGAGAAGCTGGAGAATATGTGCAACAATGCCATTGGAGATGGGAAAGAGACTTGTCTTCTCTGTAATTCCAAGTTTGGAACCTTAAAAGTTGTTGCAAAGAAATGTGATATATGTGGGAAGGTATGCTTCTAAAATACATAAAATGTATTTCTTTCAGTAAGCACGTTTGCTTTTAGGGTTAGGTTGCCTAGCATGAGATTTTTGCCTGAGAGTGCAACAATTTTGTGCAGAGATTTCTGGAGATGTTCTAAAGATTCCTGAATACATGCCATTAGGTTTAATTGAAAAGTTTGTAAGAAAAAGGTAAAGAAATAATGCCATTCTAAGTGGAGATTTGGGAAAATATGATTATCCACCTTTGGTTCCATTTTGCTTTGCAATTTGTTATTGTAAGTTATTTTTGTTAATAAATATTATTATTATTTTTATTATTATTATTAGTTGATTTTATTTATTTATTAATTTATTGATAACCTCTAACTCCTACCAAGATATGGCAGAACGATTTGTCACTCTTGATTCTAAAGACTAATAGTTTGGAAGAAATCTTATGGTGTTGCCATTGATATAAAACCTCTTTGACAGAAAGTTTGCATTGGGAAAAATCAGACCCAAAAATGCTATAAATATTTATGGTACAAGATTTACAAATTTCAAACAAAAGCAAAGGTACCCATGTATGAAAAGTCAAACTACCACATTACACCCTAACCTTCTACCCCTCCCCATCCCTAGCCACACCCATCCCATCCCATCCCCTCCCTTCAACACTATCTATAAATTAACAAAAAATTGGTTGTAACTTTTCAGTTTTGGTGTTTTTTCTTGTTGTAAGGGCTTGGGAATAGTTGTTTTTATGGAAAATGGTACAAAAGCCTTGGCTTTTTCATCTGTAGAGGAAGGGGTGCAAATAGTATCTATCATAAGAATGATTTGAGAACAAAATATTATAGTGATAATATTTAGTATTAAAAAACAGTTTTTATCAAATTTTTACTGTTAACCCTGCAATGTATTTCTTAGCTTGCTTTCCTAACATTACTTTCGGTTTCAGAATGTTTGTCAAAAGTGTGGCTTAGATACGCAAAACAGTCTTGGTGAAACCATTTGGTTGTGTAGGCTGTGCAGTGAACAAAGAGAGGTAATATAAAATGGCAGTGAAATGAAATATTGGTTGAATTAATAGCTACATGTAATAACTAGATGGGTGGCTTAGTTGTTTTGTAAAAAAAAAATGGTGGAAAAATGGCAAGAATTATTACAAAAATTACCTGAAGGATGACAACTACTTTTTGGAGTACATTGTCTGCAATAAAAAGCATCCGTTCATATCCTTAAACTGCGTAGCAACAGGCAAACATTTTGCAGACAAGAATTTTACATAGAGGCCATACAGGTATAGCCTTCGTCGCAGACGTAATTTAACCAGGTTAGTAACGTCTGTGAAGCAGTGCTGTGATCCTTGTTCTGGGCTCCCAACAGACTCAATGAATTGCTGGAAATACATTATGGATGCTATGAGACTGGAAATACTATTAATGAGCGATAAAATAATTATACCGATAATGGTTGAATTTTGCTTTGTTAATATCTTAAGATCCTAGAGGGAGATTTCTGCTCCAGCTTCAGTTATTTTGTTTTTATCTGTAGCTATGGAAGCGAACTGGAGCATGGTTCTTTAAAGCAATTCCTCATCATACTTATCCTGGGAGACAGCAAAGAAACTCATCAGCTGAAACGAGGGTGAGTTTTATTTATTTTTTTTATTTTTTTAATTTGAAGCCTTATTTTGGTTAAGAACTTAATAATTTGTCCAAAAATTGTAGTTATGATTATTAAGTCATAAATATCAAAATCAAACTGAATAGTTTATTATCAATTAATGACCGTGGTTGAAATTGATTATAAATATATTATTATACTGCTTATTAACCTTGTCCGTTTGGTCACTACAGGGAAATCTCATACCGAGGCCTTCAGTCCATCAAGGTGATCGAGGTCTGAGATTTCCCTGTATATATAATGACAGAACGAACAATGTTAAAAAGCTATTTATTATATGGCCTGAAATTTTGGACCTGAGCCACTGATAACTGGTCAGCAGGTAACTTGAAAGGAAAGAATGTCACCTCACTGAGTTGTACACTTGAGCCAGCAAGATGTTCATGTGGCACTAGTCAGTGGATACCTTTTTTGACAGCTGTCAATTGACCATAATGTGGAAGCCCATTATCAAGTTAAACACAGATTGTATATGCCCTGGACACCTAGCTAGTAATGGTCAAGAGGAAAGAAAAGAAAATCTTGCCTGCTTAGCAGACTATCATAGCGTGCATACTATTGTAGCCATATAATATTGTCCATTTTAGTCACATTTAATTGGCTTACAATAAGGCTGTGCTCCTATAAAAATGGAAAGGAGACAAAAAACCTGTAAATATTATGAAATCCAGCATGCCCAACACATTTAAACCGTGTGCAGAACTGTGTCACCCAAAGGTAAAATTAGCATTTCCAGGGTTCCCCAGGTACTGCTTGTGTGCAACCCCCTCCAAGGCCAGCTGACTCAACTAGTGAAACAACATACCCACCTAAAATAGCACGTTCATGATGTCTCTGAGCCTGCTCTGCACTAAAAGGTGTTTTAAAATTGTTCTGTTATATTGCATTTTGATCTATGCCTCCAGTTCATCAGCTGTTGATTAGAGTGCTAATTTATTTATTAGCCACTGCCAAGTTACAGTGTGACCGGGAAATCTGTGAGCACTTGAAATATCTCAGGAATGCTTATTGCATGTGTTATGACCAATCACAGCAGTAAGATCCAGACACGTGAACTGGCCACAAAACCACAAACTAATTAATGACCTTTCTTGCGGTTTAGTTTTCTCATGCCTGATTGGCTTTTTTCTTGAAAGGCAGTAACATTCCAGAAATATTTCTGGTGTTCATGGTTTTCCCGGTTTGACTGTAAGAAGTGTCTTAAGAATAAAGGGAAGAATTATATAAGAAAAAAGGGGAATCTCATTGAACTAATTGGTATTAGAAGACATTCTATCACACTGGTGGCATTTTCTAGGGAAGGGATCTAAGCAGAAGATCATATTTTTTATTAACCTTTTTATCTGTCCTTATATTTTGATTCACTACAGGAGACAAGTGGTTCCAACAGCTCAGACCAACTTATTTTGCCACCACCAAACAGATATAACAAAACATGGACAATGTACTCTAAATCAAAAGGTGATTAACTCTACCTTATGTATTGTACTGGTATATTTTTTATTAATTTTTAGGTGCTCTAGTCATTAAGATACTCAATTGCCTGTGCTATGATATATGGTGTGATATGGTGATTTTTGAAGAGCCCAAACTGTCTTTCATTGTAGTAGACTGGTAGCTGATTTTATATAATAATTTAGGCCAAATAATTTTTAGGAATGAACTAATGTGTATAATTTTTTTGGCTCACCTTTTTGCAGACAATTTGCAGGATGGGGATGTTAGAGCAGAAAGTCCATTGGAAAGTGAAGAATCAAGTAGCTCAGATGAAATGATTTTTGATAGTCCCAGAAAACCTTCAAGTTCAAGCAGAGAAAGATCATCTACAACTGATGAACCATCACTTAGTCCGTACACGGGTCGCTTGTCCGAGGTTTCGATGCCAGGCAGTGACATACTGGAAAATATGGACACACCCCCTCCATTCCGTAAGAGAACTCTTCTAGTGACACCTGAAGAGAGAGAACGTCGACCTAGTAATGTGAGTCTCAACCAAAGTGAACTTCAAGCTGTGAATGGCCAGGACGGTAAATATGTTGTTTCCTCATTATAATGCTATATTCTTTGAAAAATTATAGGTATACTGGTAATTCTTCATGCCTGTCCATGAGTGCACTTAAGAGGAGATTTATCATATTGATTGACCAGATGAGAAATGTGAACATTCCCCTTTTTCATATACATGTATTATTGGACAACGTTATTGTGTCAGTGGAATGAAAGGGTCAGGAAGATGGTCAAGAGGGGAGTTCCCCATTAAATGTAAGAGGCTATCGCACCAAGAAAAGTTTTTGGTAATTGAATGATATTAACAATCTTCCCGCAGTCTTACTACACTCATGAGATTTCCTTGTTATTAATTTTAGCAGTTCTCAAATTGTGCGATCCCCTTATTTGGCAGCACACATGGTGTTACACTGAATATTTTGCTATTTGCCACCTTTTGTACATGGAAAACTGCAATTTCATGTAACTTAAGTTCGTTAGATGAAACAAAACATTGCATATCTAAACATCAATGATTATGTTTAAATGCTTAGCTGTCCAGTCAAGTGTAGTGGTGTATTTTTTTTATTGAAATAATAATTAATTTTATTGATGCATTCCTTAGTACCAGATGGTAAACCCGTAAGAGGGCTGTCTCCCAAAGCAGAACAACGCAATTTAGTTACGCAACAACACAACAAAGTTACAGAGAATGAAATTAAACGGGAAGTGCGCAAGGCATTTATAAAGAAGCAAGATACAGAAGAGGAAGACATTGATGAGTTGGTTAGAACATTCAAGGAATCTGAGGCTGCTGTCCCAAAGGATTCTGGTGACCAAGGTATGTGACTTTCTTAAGGCAAGCTTAGTGAAAGAACACAGAAAATGACCATCAGTTCACTCCTTCCAAGGCTAGGCTCTAGAAGTGCATGGTGGCGCCTGGCACTTCACTTTTGCTCATGGAAAACTTGGAAATCTTAGCTTTTTCATAAACTTTTATGCTTGACACCCAGGATTTCACAGGTTCCAAGCAATGGGCTTCAATTTTTTGTAGAGCAGAGCCTTGTATACCTTCTAGTTTTTGTTGAAGGAAATTTATGTACATTATTGGAATCCAGAGCCATAACCAGTCCGTTGTCTTTTGGCAGGACTAGGAACCATAGAGTTTAGTGTTCATTATGACAAGCAACACAGTCAGCTGCAGGTCAAAGTAGAGTGTGCAAAGGTGAGCTTAAAAGATTAAAATATTACAGAAGTAACAGTGGCCTCAGGTGATCAGGGTTGAAGATGGATGACGTGCCCAACTAATAATTATAAGGAGCAGTTAAAGTTGGCGGAGCTTGATATAAGACTAAAATGTACAAGGATGTTAGGGAACTGGCTGAAAACAAGGCTTTTGACAGGAGCCAATGAATCGGCTCCTGGTTTGTGGTCACTGGCACTCAGGTCTAGATCTAGTTTTAAAAACATTAAAATAATGTAACTGTGTGTTCACACTATCAGGCAAATTGAGAGCAACAAAGCTAGCTTCTAGAGAGAAAGAGGGATCCTCCTTTGGACAATTTATGAAAATGTTTCCTCTAAATCACTGTTTTCAGCCTCCTGAGATTAGTCAGGGAAGCATGGGTACATTCAGCTTATGTTAAAGTCGTGAAAAGTTTCATGCTTTAATAATAATTGATTAAAAAATAACTGAAACATTACAATTGGAAAATTTACTGCGACAACCACAGTTCAAAAATGAATTTTTTCATATACTTCACATCATGAAACATTAGAGTGACTCACAACAAAGGGCAGGCATCACAAGGCACACATTAAAGGACATTGCATCTGGCCCTCTGCCTTAAACACAGAACCCTGGAGAAGAAGATCTCTTGAGTGTAACTTTTAGTTGTTGTATTATTTGGTAATGTAAATAACTCTTTTCATTTTCAGGGCTTGAAAGCCATGGATCACAGTGGAACCTCAGATCCTTATGTTAAACTACACCTTCTTCCTGGTGCTAGCAAGGTTTGTATAATGTGAATTCTGATTTACATCGTGACAGTCTATGCATAGTATTGTCAACTGGTCATTAAAATTAACTCTCAGTGTTTTTTTTCTCATTCTCTTGTTAAAAATAATAATTGTTTTTGACCAGAGTAATAAGATGAGGACTCATACGAAGTACAAGACTTTAAACCCAAAGTTTGATGAAACCCTGGTGTACCATGGAATCACAGATGACGACATGTCGAAGAAATCACTCAGGTAATGATTATATACAGCCTCTAATTCAAATATCTTAGAGCCATGAGTTAATGTACTTAAAAGTAACCCCAGAGTCAAGAGCTGTACTCCTTATATGATTTTTTCCCCTTATAAGATGTACAAAGAAATAGGACAGGAAAAATGGACGCGCAGGCTAAGGAAATTGAAATAAGAGCAGCTTTTCTTTTCAGATGCAGAGTCAATAATGATGGCTTGTTAGAATAGTTCATTCCATCACTCTTAATAGCAGCCAGTTAAGTAAAGCATTCACAAAAATTCCAAATATCTTTAGTAAAATCTTAAGCAGAGAATAGCACTATGAATCCCGTTTCATTATTGATTTATTTGAATGGCAACATCATAGGATTTCAACCTCAGAATTAAAAGTTAAAGTGATGAGTCAATGCACCGTAGCTTTGGTCAAGCGGTCAAAAGTTAAATGTAATAATTATTATTTCAAGTTTTCTGTCTGCCGATGGTCCCTTGTTGTGATGTTAAAAAATATCTGCTGGAGGACTTGGAGTTCAGGTGTATTGGATAATCCATAATTTCTCTAAGATTTGACACGATGGGTCAGGGATGACATTTTTTGACACGTTCACAAGGTAATTAAAGTAACTGCCTGCCATGGCGTTTATTCGTTGCTTAAATTTATGATGTTTTCACTTTTCTTCCATCTGCAGACTGCAAGTTTTCGATGAGGACAGACTAGGTCATAACAATTTCATTGGCGAGGCTTGTGTTGCCCTCAAAGTCTTTCACAGTAAACCGTCCCAGTCTCTTAAAAGGTCTCTCATCTCCAGAGCTTATGTGAGTATTGCAGTTTTTTAGTTCCTAAGAGTTGAGCCTTACACTTGTGCATACAGATAGCCCTTTTAATTTATCATAGCTTCTATTTTTCCATGTGTCTGTACAGTACGGTAACGTAAAAAAAATACATTGGTTTTATGAGCAAAACAAGAGCAATGCACGTGCAACACGCTTTTTAGTACATTTCTTTGACGTCCACTGCATGACTACAACGTGAAACGTCCTTATGCGACGTTTTATGAAGGACGTGAACACACCGACGAAACTTCTTTTCTCTTTTTTAACTTGGGTACAGTCCCTAAGCATTCAGTTCTAGGAAAATTCGCCTAAAGTTGACATATTTAGGGAGTCTGAATAAACGCGATAAAGTTTAAAAGAATGCAAAGTTATTTTTTTAGTGACGTTTCTCACTACCGTCGTCGTGTTTTAGAACACTGATGATGTCAAAATAACATGCGTACAATATATCATAATAAATAATGTGATGAGAGAAAAATAGCCTGTGAAAAATGATATCCCATGTGATCTATTACTGGACAGATGCACGGCAAAGTGGAATCTATTTGTTTTATACAATTAATAGTAAAAGAAAACAACAAACTTGCCTCGTGGCACCCGACTGTCGTCTACATGTTCCGGTTTTACACTATTTCCGAGTCACCAATTTTACTTCTTGTCTGCGGCTGCTTTTTGTGTTTGCTCTCCTGTAAACTGCCTGTCCTCCTTTTTCCAAGGCCCTCACTTGTTCAGAAGAGAGTTGTCTTGTAAACAGTTTCAAAACTGTTGCCAGCTCGTGACGAAATGACAACTGTTTCGAAGATTTGTTACAGTTAAAGCATTTTCAAGTCGCCAAGAACACGCTTCTCTCGCTTTTGTTTTTTTTTTCCAACTTGTAAACAGCTCCTGCTGAAGACTTTTTGAGGTATTCACTTGCTGAATCAGAATTAAGCTCGCAAATATTTTCAAAACCGCGCGCCATGTTGAACAAACAGAGGCAACAAGTTTCCCGTGACGTCATGTGAGTGTCTGTTCTCTGATAGATCATGGGCAACGACCAATCACAGCGAGTGCAACATTCACGATATTGCATAAACTCAAATAGATCATAACCAACGACTGATCAAAGAGCACGCCTAGCATTCAGTACCCTGTATAAAGAAGGATAGAAAAGACCCGTTTGAAGTTCTGCTGAAGTTTCAAATGAATCGTAACATTTAAGTGTGGTGTCTAAAGACGCGGAAGTCTGAACAAAACTTACTTAGAAAAAGAGACTCGTCTCCCAGAGGCCTCCTCATCATTGTCATACTAAAAGACAATGGCACGTCCACTCCAGACCCCCCCGCCTTATGCCCTTAATACTAATGAACAGTTGTCTCTAAAGGAAAGGTTGTAAGTCTAAAACTTTTTTTTTCTCCATACTCTATGTGCTGTTTGTCACTTTGGATTAGTTTGAAGATGGAAGGGTATGTCCTATAGTTGTTTTTTTTCTATGTGTATCGTGTATTGATCTGTTTATCATGGCTTTAAGTTTCGTCATCTTTTTGTCGTGTAGAACTACATTGTATCAAACATTGATGTACGTTGTTTTACGAAATCCATTTTAATTGTCTTTTCAGTGCTCAGTCCAGGATGTCCTTTTTGCAATACACGGTCGTTAATGACCTTCTTACGCAAATTAGATATCTCAGTGCGTCGTGAACTTTCTCCCAATTCTGCGTTAACATTTTAAGAGGATTTATGTTTGACAAAGTTTGTCATAGTAGTTTTTGACTATTATACGGCAGATTCCGCGTTTGTTGCCACCATTCCTTTTTGCTAGTTCTTGTGGAGACACATGGCACGTGACATTTTCATGCGTTTTGAAATAATCACCGCTAATGTTCAGCAAATGTTCCCACAACCACGGAACGAACGTCTCTATCTGGAGAATTTCAAGATTGACAGCTGTTTTTCGGCTCTTTGTCTTTGTAGGAATCTCCGGAACCAAATCTCGGCCGACTTCAGCTCTCTCTTAAGTACAAAACACAGAAAAATCAACTTGTTGTTGGTATAATTCGGTGTGCAGGACTTGCAGCCATGGATTCAAATGGCTACTCAGATCCTTACGTCAAATGGTGAGTATCGTGTCTCGTCTCCTTGATATGTTTCATTCAATGATTATTAGCTCAGCTACTGTATCAAGGCAAAGGAGAAGTTGTGTTGTTTCTTGGGTGTAGGCATATTGCAATGTCTACAATCAAAAATTGCTTGCTTGATAGAAAAAATGCTAGTGCCAAAACGCTGGCTTTTGATTCTCTTTACGGTGGCCAATGTTCTGTATCAACACCAAATTATTTATTTTTTGTTTTACCCCCCACCCCCACCTATGGAACACAGCAGATTCTTTAAAAGTTTACCCCCTCCATTCTGAAGTCACAGATGAGACTGATATAAAGTTACTGAAAATTCCCATAACGACTGGGTGAGAATTAGCCTCCCACGCAGAAGTTCTTAGTGGTTCGTCACGCGTTCCTGCGTGGAGCAGGAAGGCGTGACGAACCACTGAAAACGTCTGGGTGGGAGGCTAGGTCACAATCAGTTGCTGTGAAAACGAGATTTGACGTCATACGTAACTTATGGTACCTCCTTTCTTTTTTGTTTTCAGTTACTTAAAACCTGATGTACACAAGAAATCAAAGAAGAGGACTAGCGTTAAGAAGAAGACACTTAATCCTGAATATAACGAGGTAAGCATACAAGATCCTGTCAAAATTACTTACTCCTGTAGCTGTATCAGTGTTACTTGGGCTTTTGACTTTAATGATGAGCAGTATCGCACCTCTTTAAAGGTGATGTTATACAGGACGATTCGCAACGACGATTTTTAGCGCAACGAAGCGTTACAACATTGTTGTTACATTGTTTCGAATGGCTGCAATATTGTTCCAACATTTGAACCCTGTGTTGCGCTAGAAATCGTCGTCACGATTCGCCCCGTGTAGCTCAAGTTCCCTACTCGTTTCTAAAGTGGCGAATTGGAACTTATTTTTTCATTGTTTTCCCAACCATTCCTGTGAGACCTTGATAATAGAAGCTTTAAAAATGGGGAGGTGTTAACTCGCTTTGTTTCGCTGCATTGTATCTGGCAACAGGAATTTGTGTACGAGATCTCACACCATGAGTTGGCCAAGAAAAGTTTAGAGTTGACAGTGTGGGATCATGATGTTGGAAAAAGCAATGACTTTATCGGTAAGAATATGTCATTACTTACTCCAGAGTCTCAAATGTACGATGACTTTGCCACTTTCTTCCAAGTCCCTTAAGCCCTGTGCAAACGGACGCAACATTGATGGATGTTACATGTTGCGTCCGTTTGCACACCCTGTTGCATGTAGTTGCGTGTTGTTGGGAGTTGTTTAGCGAAGTTTGAAGCCGGTCAAACTTTTTAAAGGTACGTGTAAACGGACACACAACTCCCAAAAATGTTGCGTCCGTTTGAACGGGACTTTAAGTTGTGCCCAGGTGATTGTTATGATTTACACTAGCGCGGGGGTCAGGAGACGAGTGAGACTAGCACGGTAATGCAACAGGCAAGATTAACATCGCGCGCTTCGACGCGTCCTCCCACGCTTCTGTAAAATGAAGGGACGACTTGGGACAAGTCGGCTAATAGAACCTTGCACGGTTGTTCTGGTATATTTTTTCAACTTTTTATATTCATCAACACTGCTGGAAAGAGGGCCTTAAAATAAGGTAACTGACCAAGTTTAAAGGTGATACGTCCAAAGAGAGCGAAGCTGTTCCTGCACAAAAGTCGTGAAATGTTGCAGGAGTTTGTATGGTGGGAGGCACGAACTTGCCCCCCCACCCCCACTACTATACAAACGTATGGAAAATGCCGCGACTTTGCGCTGCTATATCTTCGTTAGTTTTCAGCAAATCACTTTTAAACTTCGCAACTTTACTGATATTAAGGCGTTTTTTCAGCTGTGTTGACGGATTTTTGCTTACTTTTCCCGGTCATACCCTGCAAGCAGGGGTTCCTCTCTTGCATGGCTTTTACGTGACAGACAAGCCACGCGAACGACTTCGTAAACGCTAAAAGCCATGCAAGAGAGAAACCTCTGCTCGCATAGACTACGAGTAGTCCCCCATTTGTTCTCAGGGATAGTAGAGCGAGCGAAACGCGAGCGCGTGTGAAAATCGTCTCGCCTTTCTCGCCTGGGGTGATTTTCACGCGCGTTCGCGTTTCGCTCGCTCTACTATCCCTGAGGAAAAATGGGGGACTACTCGTAGTCTACTGCTCGCAGGGTACGCAGTCAAAAGTTGAAAAACACAAAACATGGAGAGGTCTAATGTCATTGACTTAGTTGTTCTTGCGTCTTTACCCTAGAATATGGGCAACCTTGACAAAATACTAGAAACTCACTCAGTAAATCGTTTTTTGACGGACCTTTTTGTATGATGTTTTTGTTCCCTGTTAGGTGGTGTTGCCATGGATATCAATTCCAGCGGCACCGCTCTGATGCATTGGTATGATATGCTTAAAACCCCCAACCAGGTCCACACACATTGGCACACTTTAGAAAAACTGGCCAATCACGAGCAAGAATGAGACGTGCATTGCGTGATGTATACTAAAATAATCATTAGATTAAAAACAAGTCTCTTTGCAAGTCTACAAGATGGACATCGGCAGCCAAAAATGGAAAAACCGTTATCCTGCCGAGGAATGTGAATAGGAGAAAATTACAGATTATAATTTATAGTATTTATCTAAGCAGTTGTATTGGAACGTAAATGAGGCCCATGTAGAGTTTTGAAGGTAAAACTAGTGTACTTCTGCAAGGAAAACTAGTGTACTTGTTCAGTGGCGAACTTGTTCGCCACTTTAGAAACGAAAAGGAAACCAGTTTACTTGTTCAGTGGCGAGCTTGTTCGCCGCTTAAGAAACGAGAAAACTGGGCCGAGTTAACTTTCGCAAACACTTTTGGGACTTTGCTGGGGAAAGGAAAAAATTATTTAGCTATTTATTTTTTGTTAATATCACCACCTTATTATGACACGGTAACAAAATTACAGAGATTCGTAAGAATATGGCAAGAAAGCCCAAAGAAACCATGAGGCTTATACAACGTGGGCTTTCTTTAACAAAGTAACAAAAAATGCCAAATATTGATTGAAAACATAAAGGCAAAAGACAAAGCCTACAAAGAAAAAGGAAAAAGAGTAGGGGATGGAGGGAAAGGAACAAGTTAAGTAAGAAGGTGATTCTTGGGTTTGTTCTGTAAAGTTGGTAAAAAAAAGGACAATATATGACCGGCGCGTCCCCAGTAATGATTCCAGAAACAATTGCGGGACACATTTCGGCTCGCTCCTTTCTCGTTTCTGAAGTGGCGAATTTCTTATCATGTGTCAGTAAATAGTTGCTAAGCAACTATATGGCATATTTCGAGATGGAGTGCTGTGAAATTTTCATAGTTCAGTATAGTACTGTATCAAATATCTTAAGAAGAATGTAGCTTCTTAACAGTGTGGTTTGCTGCAACAAAACTATATTATGAAATTTCTTATGTAGGTTGAATTTGAAATTCTTGTCAAGAATATTTAGCCGGATTTTGTAACAAGAAAATATTAAAGAATTGTCGAAACTGTACTAAGATGTTTCGTTATGTTCTTCTCTTTTCATCTCATTATCGTTGTTTCACAAAACTGAAGATGTTTTAAAAGCCGTCCAGACTGAATAATGCTGTAATCAACGTTAAACTTCAAAGCTAAGCCCCTAGGCTTACGGTTTACATTAAAGGACTTAGTAACCCGCGTTCAGACGGTTTTTCCTCCCTTTTCTTAGAGAGAAGTCCTCTTTACTATGATTGCAGATGTAAAGCGTTTGTGATAAGATGAAATTAAGATCTGTAATTTTGTTGCTCCTGGGTGAGTGTTGCTTTCTTTGCTTAAGCTTTGGAGAGAACTTTGACTCTGTCGAATAAATGATAAGATTCAATGAGTGAATAGGGGGTACAAAAAATAGAAACATCATGGGCTTTTTCTAAGGAGCTTAGGAGTGTGACATGTTTTCACCAATCATACATATATATATTTTTACAAAAGTTTTTCTCTTGCTTGGACGCGTGAGACAGAGAAGTGCAACTCTTTCTCTTTATCCTTCCAGTCATACCGCTCCCTCCTCTTCAGAAGTTCGACTGAGTGTTATTAGCAAATTGAACAGGCGCTATTTTTTCGCGCGTTTCAGACAAGCACGAAAAGTACGTTAGGGCGAGACGCTCGCTTCGTGCTCGCATAAAACACACGAAGAAATAGGGCCTGTTTTCTAGAGTGTCATTGGCTTGCTGAAGCAAGGCCCAAAACGTAAGGCTCCCCTAAGTCGCTGCGGAGGGAGGAGAGTAGTTTGTAGGGTGGTTTCCTGTCAGGAACGCTGGGAACAAGGTTGAATTGGATTCACTTGCCTGTCAATGGTGATTTTTTACCCTAACACAAGACTATAATGTATTACTGACAAAATGTTAACTTTTATTAAAACATGCAATTTAACTCCAGGCGCACTGTCAGAGTTCGATGAACAAAGAATCATCAAAATCAACCTATCCCTCAGGGTATCTCTCTTCTAGCCTATGTACAGCATCCTCCTCTGATCAAACTTTGTTTGAGGCGAGGGAGCTGCTGTGCAAAGGCTTCTCTCTTCCAGTCCCCCTGTTTTGTTTCTCTCTCCAGGGGATGGACAGAAGCAGCCAATACCCTTGAAACAAGTTGTTTTAATTTACAGTACTAGGTGAACTATTACTCTTATTTACAGACAGAAAATAGGGGCAAAAAAGAAATTAAATTAAATAACATCATCCATTTTTAAGGATCACATGATTTTATACAAAACATGGTCTTATGAGAACGTATAATAAATTATATACAAAATTCAGCATTGTTCTCTAGCAGATTCCTTTTAACCAAAAACTCTTAAGTCTTTGGTAATAAAGTCAAAACGGTTATTTTAAGTTAATGTATCATTTAGCAGAAAAAGCTTTACAACTCAACAATTAGCACTGGAGTGATTCTTGTGGCTATAACAAACATTTGGAGCAAGGCCAAATGTGGAACCTCATTAAATTATACATTAACATATCAAATTGCTTCAATTAACTAATTCGAGTTGTCTTGATGACAACAAGGGACAATCATTATGGCCTTTTTAGACTGTTGCCGGTCCTCACTTTAAGGGACAAAAAGGAATTTAGATACGTTTATGGTTAGTAAAAAAATGACCTTTTTGTGAAGGCCCACTATGATACCAAAATGCTATAAACAAGAAGCTTTCCTGTTGTAACTTTAAGAGAAGAAAAGCTTCTCAAAAAAATGAAAAAAGGCGAGCTGTGCATTGTTGGAGGGTGGAATGAGTCATTTTTGGATGTTACTCTTTAAAATGAAACAAGCCCATGTTCCAACTGGTTATGGGCAATTGAATTGAATTGAATCATACAATAATATTATAAGATGACATAACATGAGAAAGTCAACAGTGTACATAGGCTTGATTACCCGTGCTATTTGGAAAAATCAATCACTCCCTGCCCCTGGCCCAAAAGAGTGGTAGGGCACTTCTGAATTCTATTTTATTTTTTAGCCAGTTAGCATACTGCCTGCAGTTTTTGTCTGGCAATATTATTGCAAAAATTATCAGTTGTGAAAACCACAGAGTATGTTAAAGAGATGATGAATGAGGCTTTTCGGGGAGCTCTGGAGACCTTTAAAACCAAAATTAAATCAAAAGATTTGCAGTGAGAGGTACTGGCCATCCATTAAAACATTGAAAAGTGATATGCAATGTACAGAAAATAATGAGCCGAAGAAACTCTCACCAAAATAAGTAAAAGAAATTTGGAGTTTCATTTTACACCCACTGATTACGGAGATTCATACACCAATTAACTATTATTCAAATAATTATCATGACATAGAAAAGGTTAATAAGTCACTGTCCAGCTATCTCTCTTGGGGAATAAAATTTGGACCTCGGAATGTGTTGATGGATTCTTGTTCTTTAAAATAACAACCGTTTGCAAACTCGCAAAGTCGATGAGATGTTGAATGATAAGGAAGTTTTTATGTGGGAAGTACCAAGAGACAGGATATCAGTCGGCATTAAGGTGGAATAACTTTCTGTGCTGTCGTAATACAGACACCAATGCCATGATGTGAGTCAGTAGCCTCTCACTAATTCTTTCACTTTCAAGTGTCTAAATCATCTGCTGCCATATCAGATACTACTGCTATAAGGATGGTGATGTCATCAGGCTTTCCACCTGTAATGTTAAAACCTTCACATCTGGCTTGTTCAGAGAATGGAGAGGAAAAATTAGGATCAAATGAATGAGTCCTTGCTAAATGTGCTAGTGAATCAGTGACATTTTGTATGCTCTCTGTGCTGTGATCCTGAAAGGAAGAAAAGAAAATGACTATTTAATATTAATATCCGTTTTTCTGTGCTGTGTTTCCAGGGTGTAAATACATGTATAAAAAGTTGCAGGAACAAGAACTCGCACACTTTACCCCAAATCAATCAATAATACTTACATGCATGATTAATCAATAAATTAATTAATCAGGTATAATAAATTTCTACCTCAAGTTGTGATAATTCTTTGAGTATTTGTTCAGTGGAAACATTATCAAACAGGCCATCAGTAGCTAACACAATCAAATCCCCTGGCTCCACACTAAATGATGTACTCTCTGCTTCATCCAAACTGCAAAGAAAAAAACACACACACACACAAACAAAAATCATGACTGTTATTTTACAATGCACCTATTCAATCCTGTCACTTTGTTGTGTATATTTACTTTTGTACCTATTTCATTATAATATTTAACATTTATACAATATCAATGTAGATTTGTTAAGCCTCGATCTTTCTTGACTTTGCACATTTACAGTTATTATAAATATATTATTTATTACGATGGTCACCCAACTATGATAGTTTAGCTTTACAGATATTTTCTATTGGTAATATCCAACTAGTGGTCTATTATCAATGCTGTGTTGTGATTGGTTGAGCTACTACTACGCTATTTATTTGTTATAGCCCACCAGTACCGAAAAGCGCCGGCTTTGAAAACCAAAACAATGGCGGCTGAATCGCGTTTTGCTAGCTTAAGTTGTTTTGTCTCGATATTTTTTACCAACTAGTTGGATTTTACTAAAACAATAGTTATTCCTCTCGCCCTCATGGCTTCTGAGTCAATAGGCCTCATGGGCTATTGATTCAGAGCCCATTCGGACTCGAGGAATAATTGTTAAATATTGGGTGTCCAACTACTGCATGCACTGCCATTGTTAGTACTAATTAAAATTAATTCTTGTGAATTCTTTTAGTTGCCTGTCTACAGTAGAAATGAAGTTGTTGTTGTTTGCTCTGTGCATTAATTTTATGACCATGTTGTCAGAAAAGAACTTCAGGAATAAATAGCACATTTTAATTTTATCATGGATATCCAAATAATGACACAGGAATGAACATTGGAGGAGTATAGTGCTGTCAAGATTTCCACTCTAAATCTTCAGGTTTGTTCATGACAACGGTCAGCTTTTACACTAACCTTGTACAAAAAAATAGTAATTTTATTGGTAAGTGTTACTGCACTGCTGTACCAACTAAAAGAGACAATACGAATCTTTGCTAATGGCCATTATGGCAGCAGTGAAAATCTCGCTAAAAATATAAATAATGTCCTTTCAGACCTTAATGAATCTATTTGGATCTGCTTAATCTTTCAAATGCAAGGGATTTTTCCTGGAGTTGAATTCTTAAGGACTTTATCCAGGTTCAAAAAGAAAAAGGAAAAATTGTTGTCATAAAATGTTGCATCAGAAGGTTTCACGTCATACTCCTGCAGTGAACATGAAAGAAATGAACTAAAAAGCACACTGCACATGCAGAGCTGTTGTTTTGCTCATAAAACCAATTATTGTTTTTTGACGCTGTTATTCTAGTCATCGTTGTTGTCGCTTATTAATCTCCCTACAGTATAATTAAAATGAAATGAGGAAACAGGTTATTGAGCAAGGTATGCAGTCACCTGTCCTGTATAACGGTACCAGCCTGTCCTGGAGGTGGAAGTGCTAACTGATACGGAGTATTGAAATAATGCTGCTGTTCAGATGAGTGATGTACCACTGAACCTTGACGAATCACCAAAAATCCCGAATCACCCAGGTTAGCAGAGTGAAGCGTCTGGCTTTTTTTGTCAAGTACCATAATACAAGCTGTGCTACTACCTATATCACCAAAATATTATCATCAGTTCCTTATAGTATTACATATTATTAGAACCGGAAACCAAAATTAATATTACAGTCAAGCCAGGTCAAGCGTACCCCTTAAAATTCCATTAATGAATTTATCATTCGAAAGTTGAGTCCATTCGCAGTTGTAGATTTCAGATTCATCCCTACATTCTTGAATGCATAATGAGCCGTGAATTCACACGCGACTCAGTTACAAAATTTCTAACCACTCAGTTTCCCTGAATTTGATGTAAATGTCTTCTAAGAATTTTGATTCATTCAGAGATTTTCAATCTGACCAAATACAGACAAGTTCTCGTAAACTATTCACTGCTAATTACGCATGCAGTAATTCTGATTTGAATTTGACACTGATTATGGGAACGACTAACAGATTCATTTTCAAATAATCAATTCATTAATAGAATCTTGGGGAGTATGCTTGACCTGTTTTGACTGTAATTATTGCCAAAAACATTGAGCACTTTGTGTAAATAACTTTTAAATTCTCTGAGCTATGGACAACCAAAAAGCATTAAAAAAACACTTTCCAGGCCACTACATTCAAAGTTGAAAAAAATTCAAGGACTTGCATAGAAATTTAAGGACATTTCAAGGAAAAATGGAATAATCAAGGACTTTAAAGGACTTTTGAAGACTGTGTGAGCCCTGTAGTACATCGTACGGTAGTCAGTTTATACGATACGTGACAAAGTTATTAAATCACCTACCAAACAAAGGCTCCTTATGTTCAGCAAGCTCTTGGAATCCTGCTTTAATTATACTGACCGGAGATGGCGTCTCAAGACCGCCCTCCAACACAAATCTTTTACAACTTTCCATTAATGCACTAGAGAAAAGTGAGGAATCAATGCCATAGTGTCGCCAACCTCCAACTCCATCTGCAACACCTGATTAATACAATAAATAAATAAATGATGATGCGGTGGTACCACATCCTCAACTTTATTCTTTGTCTAACATTCCAGACTGGATTGGAATTTGGAAAGGCTGGTTGCTTTTGAGAAGAAGAGAAAAATGGAATACTCTGACAAAAACCAAGGGACAGAATGAGAAATGGAAAGTTCTCGCACGAATTCTGAAATCTTAAACTTTACCACATCTTTCCCCTTTAATGTTTCATGTCTCAATAATCCAATAATTCTTAAAACTTGATTTCTGAAAGGTGACATGATTTGAATTCTCAATTCTTCAACTGTCGACTTTGTGGTAATTTGAACAGTAGGTGGATGCAACATTAAAATAACTAACTTCACAAAGATTTTAATCTTCCTAGAAATGCTTGTCCGTTTTTCAGTATAAAATGAGGGTAATGCATCTGAAATAGTTCGTTGAATTATCTACCAATCAGAGGTACAATAGGCAAAATTAGTTGAAACAGTTTATCCTTGACAACATTTACTATTAAACTTCCCCTCCACAGGCAAAAAAAAGTCCTATATGATAGATATAGGAAAGTAAAGCATTGATTTTTAGTAATAAAAAGTGACTCAAAACCAAATAAACAGAGAAATATATAAATTTTAACAAGATGCCTAACGTCGTTCCCATGGGATGCATTGGTCTATGGAAGCATAGTGGCGTTCTATCTGAATTTGGAAAAATTAGGGAAATTGGAAATATGTGTCATGTTACGAGTATCGACGAGTAGCAGGGTGCAAAGAAAATCATTTTTACAGCTTGCCATTCGGGCAAGCTGAAGCTACTGTAGCATTAACTAGCCCAGATGTCATTTCAACTAGCCCTAATGCTTTTTGATGAGCAGAATTGATTTCACAGTTTTTCTGTTACTCGAATACCTCAACAAACATCTCTTGCCCATCGGGCAAGTTAAAAACAGAATTCACTTACCCAATAGCAAAATCCACTAGCCCTGAGCTATCAGATACTACTTTCTTTGCACGCTGAGTAGGTTACCTGTATGGGTTTTCAGTGGTTGCAAGGATGGATTTGATCTTGTTTTAATCTATCACCACGTAGTTATTTTCATAGCACGATTTGGATAGGAAAGTGAAGTTATTTTGCATCAAAACAAGGTTTACCCTTGTAACTTTAAAAATTGGAATGTTCATGGAAACAAGCAATGGAGAACACAATGCTTTTATTAACCTAGACAGGAACTATATGTATAAAGATACATCATACCTTGGTAGTAAGTTGCCACAGGTATTTTTTTTCAAAGAGAAATAAACATTGCAGTTTAAGGTTAATGGAACAATAAACATTTAACAAAACATTCGCTTGCTCTATCTAAGGTTACAAAGTTCAATAAAGTTCCAATGTTTTAATCCAAGATAAAAGTATAATATTCCAAGACGCTCTTGATCTGGTTAAAAAGTTAATTGCAATGTGTTTCTAAGGTCTCAAAGTTAACACAGTTCCAATGGTTATCCATGATTCCAAGGTATAATAAGGTCACTAAGGTCTGGAACTGTGTGCCATCCAGAAAATCCAATCCATGTCAAAAGCGAGTCATCAATCGACGAGGACAATATTTTTGCGATTTCACTGCCAATGGTCAAGGGTACAAATCGAAATTTACGTGATTTAACTCCCCATCATCAAGGTGTTTTCGATAACAAAAGAAAAAACTAAACTCTAGCTCTGCTCGGTAAAAACTGGCCAACTCCGACTAGAAAATTCTATCCAAAATCACATCCCCCCAACTAGACGCTACTAAAACCTTCAGAAAAAGCTAGACCAAACCAAAAAGAATCATGGAGGGAAAAAACCCGAAATAAAGAGAATTAAATTGGCCTAGGTCCCCTCCCGTGACTTGCCAGTGTCCCAAAGGATTTCACTGGTTAAAAAGCCATCCTAAACACGACAAGTGACAAATTTGGCAAGGAACATCCTGAAATATTCTTCAGAGGAGGCAAGTTGATTAAAAATCGATAAAGATTTTGTAACAATCTCATTGGATGGCTTGGAAGAAGAAATAATCGATCAAGATTTTATGCAATCTATTGGCTGGTTTTCCAATTTGTTCGTACAAATAATGCAATGAAAAACAAACCAAACCGGATTTTTACTGGGGTGTGCCACAGGCACCCCATGGAAAAACTCATTAAACAGGGCTAGTAAAATGCTTATGAAAGCATTTATATCGATCTAATCAAAACAAGCTGCTAAAACTACATCCGGGAAGAAAAAGGGATAAATACAGGAATGTACCTTGCAGCATTTTATCTTTTAATTCAATGAAGGAATTGGGCAATATATTATTTTGCAACAATTCCAATATCTTGGACGACTTATAAAATCTGTGTAAATTTTTGTTTACAAGTTTGCAAATTTAGGGTTTAACCATTTTTCTGTACATGGTAAACATGGTATATTTTTTCAACATGTAAAAATGTATGTAGCTGCAAATAAAAGTACTAAGGTCATCTGATTAAAATACAGAATGACAAATTTTACCTGTCAGTAAAATACCGGATAAATAAAAACCAAAAGACTGTGATTATCTTAAAGCTCAAGATTTTCATACCTGAGGAAATTAAAAGTTGCCATAATGTATGCTTGACACTGTTTCTGGTATATCCAATAAAAGTTTGACAAACTTAAAACTACACCCTACACAATATCTTTTTTTTCATGATATTTGCCAAAGGACTACCCAATACAATTTCATACAAAAAAGGAAGTAAAAAATGGGAAACAGCAGGGCTGTGATAAATAATATGATGTTTTCTTGCAAGGTCAGATAAGAAATGTGGTAGAACATCCCATTATGTCACTTATGTTATTTGCTCATTTTTAATACCTGTGATTTGTAATTACAGAAAAGGAGCACATAACAAAAATGTATTTATCAGTGAACTGGTTACTTCCTCAAGGCAAATTTAATCACCTTCAAAATGAAATATCCAATCATGATTTAAAAGCTAGCCATAATGTCCAACTTTGGTGGGGATTTCATTACACATACGAAAAATTTTGCAGCCATTGCATTGTCCAATTACCAACTGTTACTTCTGGCCTTGAAATAGAGAAATGAGCTCCTGACAGAAAAATAGACAACTAAAAAGGGTGTATGGGCTGTGACAGCTTCTATACTAGAAAGACTACAGTTGTACTGTAAATGAAGATGGAAATGTCTAAGGCAGTTAATAAAACAATTTAACAGGGTCTGTACAAGGGCAACCAATCAGCCCACCAAGTCAATAAAAGACAGGGCTAATTAATCAAATGAAAGTATAATATAAATTCATAACATTCAGAGGAACAATATCAGATGTATCTTCATCAGAGAGAATCACGAGATACAGACAGGGTCAGGAAAAAAGGGAATGCACAAGGGAAAGTTAAAAAGAAAATGGCAATTATCGAATTCTTTGTAAAATGTAAGAGCTCCAATGAACCAACTGTAGTTAAACTTAAAACGATACAGCAAGGAGATCTTGTAAATTAAAAGCAATATGCAATAAGCACTTCAGTTTAATAGTAATTCTTATTGCCTTTCTGAAAGAGGAATATAAAATACAAATATTGCATTTTCATGAAAACAGCTTTTCAGATTAAAACATCGTTCAAAAAAAAAATCCAGGAAAAAATAAAACGAATTCTATAAAAGCAAACAACCCTGTGATACATGTTTGCAGTTAGCGGATTTGGTTGCATCCTAAAATGACTCTCGGTAGTTTCTTCTAAAGATATTGTAGAAGCACACTTTCTGAACTCTATTGTGGCTGTAAAATAATTTAAATACTTTAAATCTGGGAACATCAACGGGAGATCGAATGCACTGCGTGAACATACGAAATGTAATTCGTCTTCTATTGAAAACAAGTCCCAATAACCACATGGGTAAACCTTTTAAAAATAAATGTTATCAAATATAACACATCCCCGTTCGCTGGAACATCCAATACTATCGTAAGAGTCTGAAAGAACGCTGAAAAAGGTTGACTTAAAACAACAAATCTTCATTTTCCACCGTTCATGAGACTAAACCGCGTGCTGCAATATTTGTTTACAAGAGGAAAACGAGTTTACAATTCGAGCCCGGCACAAACTAAAATATCTATACGTAACAGCCATTCAAGAACAACACTAAACCGTTCAACCGTTTTCAAAAAGTAACTTACCTAAGACATCGGAAGTTTTAGTTTTGGCTAGAAAACATGCATCTTCTCCAAATACGAACTTGTTCTTCGCCGGATTGAAATCCTTTGAAAAACCACAATAAGCCGTGATGAGTCGAAGATCCGTAGAGTTAGTCTGTCGTTTCAGCAAAGGCGCCACTAATTGTCGCGCATGAGAAGCTAACAATCGGCCATAAACCACGGCACTTTGCATAGCTATTGCACGTTTGCTGTTAGTAATAAATTCACATTGTGGAACTAGAGGAAGGAAGCAAGTAACAGGCTATATTGAACCCTGAACCGACATGTTAGTTTCCCAAGATGCTCCTTGGGGCGCATTACGTCATTACCCCCTTGGGATCCGGGGTTGTATCGGCAAGTATTTCTTTGAATTTGCACAGATTTTAAAAAAATTCTTTTACAGATCTTACGGGTAACGTTAGTCTCGAAGGCCAAAAGTTCTTTTCAGACCAGAACAGGAATCATGGTCTAAAAGCTCTATTTTAGCTTGTCTGATCTAGATCTCGATGTCTCCAGCCCAGTTTCTTGCACTACATCCCGGAGGCGGGGTTACTCGATATATTCCTGGGTGGGGAGGTGCTGCGCGGCCCCTCATACCCTGACCCTGTTTAAGACAAATATAGCTGATTTTCGTACCCTGTTTAAGACCGAATTCCAATTTTTGATACCCTGTTTAAGACATTTATCCTGTTTAAGACAAAAATTGATAAATCAATACCCTGATTAAGACAAAAAATGATAAATTCGATACCCTGTTTAAGACAAAAATCAAAAAACATACCCTGGCTGGCCGCACGTCCCCATTAAGCCCTTATAAGGGAGTACCCCCCCCGGGGACTACATATAGTAAATTACGCAATAGGTTTAAGGTAATTTTTTTTTTCAAAGTAGTCTTATTCTTATTACTATCAGGCCATATGCTATATTGTGGTGTTTCGAAAAGAGGAAAACACATCCTCATAGTGTCCTAGGTAGAGGGGATGTAGAAAACTGTTGGGAATGCCAATTTTGATCATCATCCTAACTCACTCCCAGGGTTCTCTCCTACTAGTGCAAACCTAGCCTACGAGACTGATGGGTTTTTAGGGTGAGTGAAATACCCCGAACAAAACACTCCCGCTAGCTACACAGACAGGGGAGGACCCTGGGAATGGACCTTAGTTCTGATTTCACCTCACCCCCACCCACCCCCACCAACCATCTCACGCCCACTCACACTCTTCTTGCTTTTCAACAAGGGCATTTTACACCTGAAAGACCCCACGGGTTACCATACCTGGACTTGTCAAATGCAGGTGTCTCCTTGATCCAGGATCACTTCTAGTATAAATGATAATGATAATAATAATAATGATGATGATTTAGATGGAACACATCCACATCATAGAGTGGTACACCATCTACCATTCCTATTCAGACTTGGAATTTGGAAATGTTAGTTTTTGAGGAAACAGTACGAGAAAAACAAAGGAGAGAACCAACAGCGAACTTGAGCCACATATGCATTGGCAGATTGGAGGGAGGCAAGTGATTTCACCACTGGCAAGCGCACTGATGGTAAAAGTAAATGAATTATTATCTTGGATATTTGTCTATTTTAATTCATCAACTTCTGATGTGAACCCATTTTAAGGTCAATACATTTTAAATGGGTATGACAGCTGTCAAAATATTAAATCCCCAAGCAGGCATTTCCTTTGTTACACATTTTGGTCTATTTATTTATCAAATGTGTGTAAAATAAAACAAAATGATAACAATCATTTGCATTTGAAAATTATCAGTTACACTTTAAGTTGATTCAACTCTGGTAACTTTCTGATAATGAATAATTTATTATTAACTAGTAATGAAATTTATACGAAACAATTATTATTAATTCTTTAATAATAATATTGTGTTGTAGTCAATATGATTCATTCAAAAAGTCATGATATTTTAGTCATTAGGAGATTTGTTATATACCCAGCAAAGTGAGTCTTAGCGAGCAGCCAACAATATTGAGTTACATTCTTTACTTATTTCACCTCTGCTGTCCTAGTTTTTACAATATTTTATTGTTCCACTGCTCATGAGACTTTTTGAGAGGTTTTATTTTACATGTCATGTGATAAATTTTACACAAGCTGAATACATTAACTGCCAAAAACTGCCACTTAATGTGTAAGCTCTGGGCTTATACATCTTCATAACGGGTTTTAGAAGTAGAAGGACTTATAATAGGAGGAGCTTATATATCCGAGTGGACTTATATTCGGAAAAGAGAAAGCTCCTCAACGATTTTTGCAATGAAACAAGCTATGTTTGCATTAATTTTTACTTTTTTCAAGGGCCAAAAAGTCATGACAAATCAAAAATTCATTTCAATATATTTGGAGGGCTTATTTTCAGATGTATTTTTTTAAATGTAGATGGCCCTGTAACCAAGGGCGCTAAGGTGGGGGTGCTTATATGAGGCAGTTTATGGTATACGATAATAAAGCGGTGTTCTACATTTTTAAGCTTAAATCTTGGGCACCATTGCAACTGCCCTCAAATTAAATATAGTCATTTGGATACTTAAAGTAAAGAAAGTTAAACTTCAAAACAACCACTCAAAACAATAGGCCTGTGAGGCTGATCATTAGCTCAAAGTGTTTTGAGATTACAATAGTTTTGAAAACCTATCCCATACTCCATGGGATAGGTTTAAAAACCACTAAGAGGGCTACATATTGTTATTTCTTTTTCAAGATAACTCCCCCTAAAAATTTTCATGACACAGCAGCCCTTCAGAATTAAGACAGTAATATTATAAGCCTTAGCTTCCAGAGCAAAATAGCTACTGGTAGGTCTTAATTTGTCTGTGGCAGGTCTACCAAAGGGCCTGCAGACAAATTCTACATCTTTAGAAGTTGAACAAAAAAGTTTAGCTTCTTGAAAATGCCTTGAAAGACTCAAGTCATCACTTGTCACTCACTCTCTGACAAAAGGGGACTTGTTTCGGTTGGCTCAGCATTAACTCGCAACATGCGCTTCACCTTCTTACTACTTCTATTTCGCACAATGCGAGCAGTCAACATGACGGAGGCAATCACAATGAGCAGAGCTCCAAGAATAACAAGTCCAAGTTCAATTCCATGAAAAATGGTGAATTTCTCTAATACTTCACTTTTAAGCTTCTTTGCTGAGGCACTGTCGAGTGTTGCTGTTTCATTAATGAACATAATAGGAAAAAACATTGTGTTAATTCCACTGGTCTGCGAAATCCATTCAACTGCCTCTACCTTTGTATTGATCTGCAATCGCTTGCTGCTTTTCACTGATATCCCAGTATGTGGCTCTATATTAAGAAATGTCCCATGCTCTTCTCTATTGGGAGAAAGACCTTCCACTGCTTGGACGAGGGAAGAGTCACCCAAGTAGAAATGTGGAGATGAGATAAAGAGGGGTATCTTTATCGGAGACGGTGGCTGGCATACACTTATGTCTAATATTCCAGAAGGAAAGCACTTTGTAGTGCAAAATCCTTGGTTATCAGGATTAAGGGAAGCATTCAGAAATGCCTTAGGTGGAACGCTGAACTGAATGACATCTATTCCTCGAACTTTGTTCTTACCACTGTAAGTTAGGTACAGTGAACGGCACAGCTGCGTGACGAACACATAAAGTGTGTCATCTTTACTTGTTTCCGGTGCAAATTGAGAACCATCAGTACCATTGATCATATTTGCATAAGTTGAATTCCAAACCTTGAGTTTTGTCAGTCCTTTCCAATCCATCCATTGCACAAGCTTGGTGATATCTTTTTCTCCAGTGTGCACACCAGTGACACCCTCAAAAGTGTTATTCTTCTGAAGGGCAATAAGAGGGCTTATTTCAGGCAAAAAATGGCGAAACTCCATGGGTATCTCATTTCGTTTTTTGTTGTATTCCAAAAACAATGAGTCATTATAGCCCCATAGTAAATCATGTACCCGTCTCTTCATAAATAACTTTTCCTTAAAATTGTCAAAGACTGTAGAAATTAAAACTAGCACAGCAGATGGCAAATTCCTGGCTGCTTCGGCCAACGTGACCAAAGGTATATTCACCGTTGTTATCTCTGCAGTGTTAGGATCGCAGGATTCACAAGAAGTTTCAGGGTCGAACACAAATGCCATCTCCTCGTTGTACCTAACTGAAGCCTTGTTAGAATCCCAAGTGATGTTTTTCTTCGGCCTGAGTTCTTTATAAGAAAAAGGCCCTATTTGAGCTACAAATGGTTTAGCACCTTTCTTGACTTCCATAGGATTCACTACATCGAACATAAAAAACTGCAGGTAGATAGGTACGGAAGGGTCCTTCCATTGTTTGAAGCCAACGGAGTCAGGTTTGAGAACCAAACTTTCATTGACCTTCTTTTGAATATATTTGTCCATCAGCGGGTACATAAGGATGCCAGCAAAAGCAAAGAGGATTCCCAGAGCATACAAAGCAATGATTTTCTTCCCTCCAAAGATACAAGCGCGGCTTTTGTCCTTCGCCATTACGTAATCTCACGATTTGATAGCAGCTTTTTTGCTAAAGTAAAACGCGACAGATTTTCCACACGAACAGGCGCTGTAGAGAAACAGAAACGTTGCGTTGTCCGCCGAAAGCAAGGTAATTTAAAACCAGCTCTTAAAAGCCCAGAATGTTTGAAACAAACTCGTGATTCAGCAATATTCTAATAATAGTCATGCCAAACAAACTGGCCATGTGATTTCTTGCTGCACGAAATGTCAAAGTTCACTTTCAGAATTACTTTGTGATGACTTACCGGCTAATTGAGAACTGTATTATGGCTAAAAGATACCCCTCACTCGGAAAGAAGTTCACAAAACGTTTTAAACGTAAGAGCAAGAGCTGACACCGGAGCTCACATCAGGTATGGCATTATTCTCAAATGTCACGCCAATTTACCGACCCTGCTCGCCATGTCACGTGGTCGAAAGTCTTGCCTCGCTGATCGCTAGTGGCTTGAATTATGAAGCGCGGGCTTTCTTTCCCAGCAAAAAGTAAACTTTCCGTAAAGCGGGGTTTGACTGTATTAGATATGTATTACTGTATTAGATATCTGAATACTATGTGAATTATGTTATTATTCATAATAAGTAGAGTAATACATTATTTCACCCTCATCGACAACCTTCACAATCTTTTGACCGCTTCCGGCCCATAAGGCATCCTGTTCGAGACGCCAAATCAGTAAAATTATATACTCTATTTAAGGCTTAAGACACTGAAACTCCCATGGCTCTTGTCGGCTCCTGAAAACCATGCCCTGTTCAGTGGCACATACCAACCTGGCCCAATATGAGATTTTTCCCCTGGGGGTCTTTCTAGAGAGCCCACTAGAGGTCGATTTATACTTTCTCTCACTTCAAAACCGACAGGACTCCTGATCAAATAAGACAGGAAACCGATCGATACTCTTGTAGAAGGTTTCAGAAATACAAGGGGAGATTTCAGGGCCTTAGTAAACGTTTCCACTACAACACGCACTCCCTAGCCTATAAAGGGGGGAAGCCCCGCCCGAAAGGGGTACCTGGTATAAAGGGTACGGGTTTCACTAGTTGAAGTCTGTGAAAGGACCTAAAAGGGCTAACAGGCTCCGAAACAGGCGCGTTTCAAGGCCGTGAAAAAGACGACAATAACCGAGAAATTTCTGGTTACAGTGATTTATAGCCTGAATTTCAGACGATTCGGCTTCGAATGATCGTCGTCTGAAAATACTGAAATCAGTCAGGCCAAGTGATTTATTCGTATCTAAAAGCCAGTGCATTTACAGCAGTTAAAAAAGGATGCAGCGTTCTATGCGAAAGATGTTCCATATTTTGTCAGTGAACTAGGTATATTTAGCAAAAATGGTATATAAAAGGCAAGGGGTCCGACATCAGGGCGCAGCCTTCCTGCATAAGATTTTATTGAGGCGTGTCTTACTAATGCCATGATGTATTTGTTGTTTGGACTTTGTTCAAGTGGTATGGTGCATATAGGCGGATGGCTCTCGTAGTTCATATAAATTTCTTAATGGCCTCAAAGAATGTTACTATGATGGAAAAAAATTAATAAGGAAGAGTAATAAACCATATTGGGTGAAAATGATACGTCACCCTCAAATTATCTCTTGAGTATTTTCTATTGATTTCTTATGTTAACTATTCTATACATATTTGTATTTCGCGTTCAAAGTCCAATGAATAATTTTCGTCATCTTACCACCATAGAAATAGAAAAACAATCCATTAACAATCAAAGAGGGCTCTTTGACCTGTTTCAAAGTCCGAGGACCAGATTTCAATCAGCTCCAAATTTAGAGCCCTTCGATGACTGAAAGTTAAAAATTACTCGGTTCTGACTTATCAGTCGTCGAGAGAAGATACAAAAATTTCCAAATGAAAATAAATACCATACACGACTAAAAGATGGGGGTAGAACTAACTGAAATATGGTAAGAGCCTGTTTAGTAGATAGAAGACGGAGGGAGTTTACACAAGAGAACTGTCATACTGACTCAAGAGGAGGGCTATGATGTTTCCTTGATTTCAAACCGCAAATTATGATTGATGTGACTCCAATGGGGTTTTCGCTTTATCCTCTATTTACGATTTTATCTGGTAGCAATTAACTAGACAACAATTTCTGATTGGAGTAGTTGACGCACAAATAGAGGAAGAGTGCTGACGGACTATCTCCTATCTGTAAGGGTATTCTTGCCCAAAGCTTTACTGCAAGAAACTGAGTAATCAGAAACCTACGGCGAATACACTGTCAGGGGAATTCTTGTTATAAGTTCTAATATTTCCAGTTACATGGCCAGAAGAGGACTTCGCCTTAGATGCTTGGATGAAGCTTGTCTCTACTGTAAAGAAAGGGGATAGCTTAAAGTCGTTTACAATATAAAAGAAATGTGCAAGTAAATAATCTGCAGCTAAAGGTTCGAAAAGGTGTTTTGTACATTGTATGCTAGCGACATCGACACTATAATAAAGTTCTTACTTACTTTCTTATACGTACATAGCTTTTTCAAAATGTCAGTTCAATGTCGATTATAATCAATGGCGAAATAGTGAAATTTATAATAAGGGCTAAAGGGAGGAGGCTAGTTCTAAAAAGCTATCCTTTTTATGTCCTAAATTTCCAGAATAGATTTGTAGAGGCGAGTTGTTGGTCCAACATCCCTCATCCGGGAATTCCACTTCCAATCATTATTTCAATTGTCATCCTGCGGCGAAACCCAACCGAAGGAAGCCTATGTTCACTTGTCTGGCGAGTAGGATTATCAAGTATATCAAGTAAGGATATCAAGCTGCTTAGATCCGCAAGAAAAGAAAACGAGACACTTTATTTCTTGAGTTCAGAAGTCACATTTACATTTGCAGTCCATCTCTAATTCAATCACTGTCACGAATACCCATTAATTAAACTAGAATTGGAAGTGTGGGCGCTGGGGACGAGATTGAAGCAAACAATGCAGGAGGGAGCCCTGGAAATGAGATTTTCTTCGGTGAAATTTAATGTCAAATTTTGATTTATTACTTGGCAAAACTTTTGAGCATGTTTAGAAGGGAAAAGGGGGAGTAGAAAGACACAACTAAGCGAATTGCTGGTTTGCTATCACTGTCACGCTATCAAAAATCAAAATCAAAACATGTTAAATAGATATATAGTCCAAAATCTGAGAAAAATGGGGAAATAAATACCTTAAGATCCCTTCAAAGCCTGTTCAGGTCATTGGAATTTTTCATATGCCAGATATTCGGAGAAATAGATTTACAGTCGAAGCTCTCGTAAGCAACCACTTCAAAATACGAACAAGAGCTGGTCGCTTACGAGAATGAGCTCTCGTCAACGACCGCAGCGCATGGTATACAACAAAAGAAATTAAGGTTAAATGAGTGTCTTTATATATCTGATATAGACACGGCTAAGTTTTACGTCCAGTGTTTTAGACCATTAGCACAGTGTGCAGTTTCATTACTGAGTCATTAAAGTGTTTATTTATTATAATAAGACTCTGAATGGTTGCTTACTACAGCTTAAAAACAAAGGAAAAGTCCAGTTGGGTAATCCCAAAAGTGGTTGCGGTCGCTTACGGGAGCGGTTGCTTACAAGAGGTTTTCATTACAAAGTGTAACTCACAGTTCAAACAGGGTTTCACAAAGGTGGTGGTACCTATTAGCTAGAGCTGGTCGCTTACGAGAGTGGTCGCAAGGAGAGCTTCAACTGTATTCATGATCAAATTCATAGAGCTTTGTATTGGGGCACCAACATGGCGACAGGAACCTAACAGAAACATCCGTCACTGAGTTTTGCTAATCTCTCGAGGAACTCATAAACATTAATGTAAAGTAATACTTTTTCTGATATATGACAACTGTACACATAACAAAATCCCTCTTCCCCGCCCCCCCTCCCATGCCAAGAATGCCGCATCAAGCAAAAGCTTAGAAATGCAACCTTACTGTGGTCACAAAACAACGAAGAACCCTTTCGAGGTAAAAATTTGTTGGAATATTCGTTTTCAGCTGCTCTAATACTTCATGAACGAAAAAACTCAGCAGCATCGAAAATTCTCGGTCTGAATTTTTGATGACCACATGTGAAAACCAGCAATAATCCAGTTTATCATTAAAGAAGCTATTTTTCAACCGTTTTGGTTCGTTTTTTTTTTTCTTTCATCCCGATGCAAAGAGGTTGAATGGACTCAACTGTATTCAAATTTCAAACCAAAACCAACCAAATAAACACACGACTAGTAAGAGCTCTTGTATGGTCAATTAAACGCCATTCAGGATTGAAGCGTTTTACAGTGATCTAGTGGTGTTTGAGTTTGTTTCTTGACATATCTAATGGTGACCTTAAAGGAAAAATAAGGTTAAAAAAATCACAAACGCTGTATGATAAAAGATTGAACTTACGAGTCTAAATTCTCACTGTAAATTAGCATTTCATCTAGATAATTGCAAGATTAAACAATAGACAACTTAGATCTTCTGTAATAAACGATCGTTGTTATTTGAATGGGTCAAATCAGAGATTATTTAATTTGTATTAGCCAATCACATTTCATATTACAATTAAGCTGACCACTAATAGCACTCGATACGTTGTTCCTTCTTATTAACGCGATCTGACAAGAATCTCACTTGCGCTAAAAAAAACCCACAAGAATTGCTTTATTTTTGGTATGAACAGCTAACTCATACAATTAAGTGGATAATTAGAAATGGCGCAGTCTTAGGGTGGCTCGATACAGTTTTTCAAGGCCAATACCTCCCAAGTTTGAGCATAAACTACGTCGCCATAAACAAAGTTTTGGAAAAATTGCCCCCACAGTTGTATTAGATAAAGATGAAAATCTTTTATGATCAGGGTTGCAATGACATCGGAGTTGTCATAGCAACAAAATGACGCTATTACCTATTTTACTTACAGAAGTATTTCTCGGCACTGGGAACTGTTCTTCCAAAATTATTCACGGGAGCTTTTTCCTCCAATAGCCGCCTCGATGTTCGTGAAGTTTAAGCGAAATCTGTAAGAGCGTTATCGAGATATTTTGGGATCAAGATTTTGTGGTTAGAAATACGGTAAAAAATGGATAATCTTAATGTTCGGCTGTTATCTGTAGAAAATGAAGCGCTTTTGACATGCAATTTCACCTGATAGTAGTTTCAATCTTTTTAAAAACGTGTGTGAAAGGCCGTGGAGATAGCTCCAGCCGATTGCTAGAAAGAAGGATTTGATTACTATGTATCGAGGCGCTTTTGTTAGCGGTTTTCGAACATTTTGGTCTACTTTAACAAATTAGCGAATAATTTTTAAACCGCTCGATAGATTTTTTTAAAAAAATAAGATTCTTGAGATTAACCTTCCTTTTATATGACCCTTTAGTTTCAAGATTATTGATATATTGTAAGGCAGTAAAATAAGGGCTACAATTCGCCAATATTTTCGCAGAAATGTTGTGTTTACAAATGTGAGCCTCTCATTATTCAGGGTATTGTCTCCCAGTTTCATATTTTCGCGCATAACAATAGCTAGCATTTTTGCATATGTCAAATGCATTGTTAGTTACTGTTGTTCACGTGAAAATGAAACTTGGAGACAATGCCTTGAATAATGAGAGGCTTTCACTTGTAATGAAGAAACTTCAGATTAAAAAGTAACGAATTGTAGCCCATATTTTACTGCCTTACAATGTATCAATAATCTCGAAACTAAAGGGTCGTATAAAAGAAAGGTTAACCTCAAGAATCTTAAATTTTAAAAAAAATTTATCGAGCGGTTTAAAAATTATTCGCTAATTTGTTAAAGAAGACCAAAATGTTTACAAAACCGGTACCAAGAGCGCTTCGATACATACTAATAAAACCCTTCTTTCTAGCAATCGGCTGGAGCTATCTCCATGATCTTTCGTTTTTAAACAGATTGAAACTACTATCAGGTGAAATTGCATGTCAAAAGCGCTTCATTTTCTACAGAGAACGGCCAAACAACAATATTGTCCATTTTTTACTGTGTTTCTAATCATAAAAACTTCATCCCAAAATATCTCGATAACGCTCTTACAGATTTCGCTTAAACTTCACGAACATCGAGGCTGCTATTGGAGGAAAAAGCTCCTGTGAACGATTTTGGAAGAACAGTTCTCAGTGCCGAGATACACTGCTGCAAGTAAAATAGGTAATAGCGTGATTTCGTTGCTCTGACAACTCCGATGCCATTGCAACCCTGATCATAACAAATTTTCATCTTTATGTAATACAACTGTGGTGGCAATTTTTCCAAAACTTTTTTTATGGCGACGTAGTTTATGCTCAAACTTGGGAGGTATTGGCCCTGAAAAATTGTATCGAGCCACCTTAGGGCGAAGGGTTTTTGACTCGATGAGAAGGAAAGAAGAAATGTAATACACCAAACAACATCGGCGGACTTGAGACTTGAGACCAACTCTTCCATCCGAGATATATCGAGATTATTCCTATTTTGCCAAGAGCCTTGAATTTCTAGGTACTACTCTCCATCCCTTTTTTGCATGGTACAAGTTTACATTATTGATGTTAATATGCGAATTAAATTATTTACTTGCTATGTTTCGCTTTCTTTGTTTCTCTTTGACTGTTTAGGGTTCAACTTCCTTAAAAGCGGTTATGCATCCAATTACCCAAAGGTAAGTGAGTTTGTATATTTTACAATGAAGCGTAAATTGTTTTTGTTTTTCAAAGCATTATCTATTCGTGAATGATAACATTACCAGCATGAACTATTTAAAAAGAAAATCATATCTGCCTATATCAATTATTATGGGGGTAAACTCATAAAACTTTGCGCTCCCTTTAGATAGGAATCTGGTGGTATTTCTTGATATAATAATGAATCGAGGATTTTCGTTCTAGATTAACTTTTAATTAATTTAATTTTACCCTTAGATTCAATTACGGAGATTTTTTATTGTAATTCTGAGTCTTTTGAGTCTGTGGACCGAATAGTACATTTGCAAAATTGACCAACAATGGAAACGGCATGTACATCATGCGCAAAAGAAGGTTTGTATTGTATGTTGTATCTGTATCAAGAGAATGCTCTACTTCATTTTAATAGCCTACATTGTACTACTATACTAGGAAATTACGAACTGGCGTTTGGTTAATCAAAAAGGTAGGAGTTGAAGAACTCGATGTTTTGGGGGAGCAATATGAAAGGCCTGCAAGGTCTCGTAAATGATATCGATAATTTTGGGACTTTTTTGTAAGTCTGATCACTTTTGTAAGAGGACGACCGGATCACGGATCATATACTGAACAATTAAGGCTGAACGTTTCATATTTTACCGGCTAACATACATGTTTTCTTTTGTTCCTCCAGCTTTTCGTTATCACTAGACTGCCGCATAACTCAAGCTGTTGTGATCGCAGAATTTCTTAAAGGTAAACGATTAAAATTATTACACAGCAAATGCACCCAGTATAGTGACTTGTACGTTCAATTTTGAACATTACTTTTGTACTGATCAAGAAACATAAACGAATTTGGCTCAGAATTACCATAAACTCGTCTAGTTCACATTGAGTCTTAACCAGCTTACACTATTGTAAAATTTAATACTCAGTCTATAAAGTTGATGATGAAACTGATGGCCAGCGTACAGGAGATACATTCTTTGAGAGAAAGAGGTAGAAAAACTTAAATAACTTAAATAAATAACTCATAATACGCAATCCCAAACTGTGATATTATCATCTGTAATCTCTATAACTGTCTTAAATTGTCAGCCTAACGTTTGCGGTGAAAGTGCAAACCTTTAGTTTTCACTGAATTAAGGAATCACACCAAGTCAGGTCTCAGAAGTATCACAAAGCAATGCGGAAATACGAAACACGATATCATTGGACGAATCACTGACAAAGCCGAAAAAGTAGTATCCAATAGCATTTCTTGTTAGAATACTCATGGCAGAATTTTCTCTTAACTTGTTACTACGAGAACTTAGTCAAACAAACCACAGCCAGAGTGATTCAGGCACATCATTGTTACACAGAATAGATCCAAGATAACAACAGCGTAGGTTCGTATATTTGTACTTTGTGAATTCTTACATGTTACCTTATTCCATTCTCGTTCTTCTTTTTGTACTCTGTTGGCTGAACTCAATGAATACGTAGGTAGGTGAACACTCTCATGATACGGAACACGTTTCCAGTTAAAAAGGCGACTGAGTTTAAGTGGGCAATGGGAATATAAGCCTTTGTTCAGTCACTTAGAATTATTAAGTATTAAATCACCTGCAAGTTAGCGTCTGTTTTCATAAGTGACTTTCGACTTTCGTGTAAGGGAACTATAATTGGGTACCTTTGCTTGGCAATGTGCATTTAAAGTGTGTTCAGCCTTTTTAGAATTCTTCGGAAAATGTTTCTCGAAATTGCCGACTGTTTATCAGTGAAAAATAGGGTGATTAAGACAAGAAAGGCGATAATCGAAAACAGGCGTTTTGTTGTTTTATATGTCGAAGTGGTAAATCTTAAAGGTGTTAAGAATTGACTGTTTTATTAAAAATGGATAACAGATAATGGCGTAATTAAAAGATTTTCTTTGAAAAATGAAGCGTATCATTTCAGTCGAAAGTCCGGATAAAATTTTTACAAGTGCATTTTTTTTTATAAAGCAATGCAAAATCAAACTTGGTTTGTCCGTAAAGATTTGAAAACATTTCAAACTTAGGTACGATTCCAAGACTAATTTTAAAAGTGTATTTGCTAGCTGAAAACGTACCAAATAAATAACGTAGCTACGAATATTAAAGACAGTTAAGAAAACATGTTGCAATATTAAACGCACATAAGGGGTAATCGTAATCTCCTTCTTCAATTATTTTGTCTAATCTAAAAGTTATTGTTTCAGCGCGATCTCTGTCCGTTTTGAACATGAGCCGGTGTCAAGCTGACGTATAATGTAATTTGAAGGAGAATTTTTATGACAGAAAGAGCCTTCAAGTTCTAACGGAGCTTGTTCTCTAAGATGAAAGGAATAACTGATGACTGAAACGAAGTTTATCATGAGAGGTCCTATTAAAGGCGTGCACATAGAGGAGCAATAGCTTCTATGATTTGACAAAACTCCCCGCTGGTCCGCGGACCAAAAAAATTTCCAGAAATGTTTGAAAACGAGTAATCCGAGTTTAAGCATAGAGAGCTAAAAAGCACGGAATTACTAGACAGTTAGCCCAAAAAAAAATTAAATAAACTCTAAAAATACTTTCCGTATTTTAACATGTTGTGTTTTTAGCCTTATCAAACTTGCTTCTTATTTAAACAAAGAAATTTTTAACAGCTATTCTCATTGGTCAATCCAGAAATGACTTAGCCAATCGGAAAGTTTGTCGTGTTTTCGCATTTCATACGTCACGAACCCTTCAACTCGTTTTAGCCTGCAACGTAAAATTATAGCGCCAAAGGAAAAAATCCTTTCAATTGGTCAATTAAGAATCCATTCAACCAATAAGAACTCTTTTAGCACGTTGTATTTACCAACCTTAAAACTCTAACTTGTTCAAAACACGTTTGTATTTAAAGTTATTCCAGTAGAGGACATAAAAGCCTCAGCATTGTGAAGGGATTTGTCATTCCTCGTCGGATGTCTATAGACATATAAGCAAGCTTAAGGTTGGTTTTCAATGTTTTTTAGATTTAACTTGGTAACTATATACTCATATCAACTGTCAATGTTTTGGAGCTATTCCAGCGTTTTTTTTTAAAGTTTCAATTCTCTCAATTATTTGATCTTAATTACAAAAAATTCAGAAACCATCGTTTAATGTTAAAGTGAAATTTATCGGAGTCGCTGTATTCTCTCCATGAAGGCACCGAGTAGTCGCTAATTAACCGTGGCTTTCATATACGAAGGTATCCGTAATGACTTATTTGTTATCGCCTTTTGAGCTATGCTGAAAAGGGCTTTGTGACTCCGTGCATACAGAACATGAAATTACAAGTCCATGGTATACTGTTCTCAATAAGTAATGAATACAGCAGTGTTAAAGAAATTGCTTTTTCTATTCTTTCTTTTTTTCTTCCAGTTTCAAAACAAGTAGGAATGTCGCAATCAATTTGTTAAAGCTTGATTGTAATCACGTTTTCACAGGTTTTACAATCATACAATCCTGTATGAAGATGCCACTGGCCACTAAGTTATGTGTTCTGCAGTTGCTACTGATCACTGTCTGTTCTGCAAATAACAACAACAGCAGCAAACCAGGTGAAAAGGTGAGTTCGTTTGATCAAATATTGCAACTAAGGGGTTGTTTAATGCAAATTGTTGTAAGATGAAAAGTGGTACGGTTTAACAAGCTATCAGTACGTAAAAGAATGGAATGACATAGGATAGAATGAATAAAACAATGGTTTATGAATGGTTTGGTTTGATGACTCAATGATTGTCAGGGTGTTTAGCCAAAAAAAATACATGTCTAATTTTTATTTATACACTTTAGAAAATATTTTATAGGTATTCCAAGTTAAAGGATATTCAGAGCAAAACTCTGAAAATTGCTCCTACACGACAATAATGTCTGTTGCCTTTTTTTCTTTTAGAGCACTACTAAACAGACTTCATCTTATGGTTCCTGTGGTCATGGTGGGTGTTTCTGTGCACCAGGAATTCCAGGCATCCCAGGAAGTCCTGGACCCGCGGGACCAGCAGGTGTCGCGGGATCATCCGGTAATCATGGACCTGAAGGACCCATGGCCCCACGAGGACACAAAGGTGATGAAGGAGCCGGTGGAAGACAGGGACTTCCAGGTCCCAGCGGTAACAAAGGAGAAGCAGGCCCCCCTGGTTCCAAGGGACCTCAAGGACCCTCAGGTTCAGCTGGTTCTCCTGGAAACAAGGGTAATACAGGTGCTCGTGGAAAGCAAGGTCCCCCTGGGCCCAAGGGACCTCAAGGACCCTCAGGTTCAGCTGGTTCCCCCGGAAACAAGGGTGATACAGGTGCTCGTGGAAGACAAGGTTCCCCAGGTTCCAAGGGGGATCCGGGAGCGTTTGGTCGTAATTGGAAACAATGCGTTTTCAAAAATATCAACGATGGAAAGGACTCTGGATTGATTAAGGTAAAATTAAATTTACAATGGCAGGTTATTGAATAGTCGCATTGCGACCCATATCAAATCAAAAAACAACTAAATAGAGATAATGAAATTGAAGAAGCTTGGAACTTTATGGTAACTATTTTCAAGGCGTTTATTTATTCCCATCGGATACACACTTTCCGATATTTCTTCACGGCTGTGAATGAGGGGTAATTCAAGTCTTCTGCCCACATTCAAGTAAAGCCTGGCCAACATGCAATTATTGTTTTATTCTAGTTGCATGTTTTGAACGAAAATTGTCTCCAGTCAATTATCTTCGATTTATAAATCACAAAAAGCCCACAATTCGTTTATTCGATCTGACAAAGGTTATGTAGCAGTAAAATTGTTAGCTTAAAAAGCCTAGCTTACATTTCACTGTTTAATTTTGAAAATTTTTTCGATAATTTTCGCTCAGGAATGTATTTTCGGAAAGACGTCAGACAACACAGCGCTGCGTGTCCTCTGGAGCGGCAATCTTCGCATCTATAACTGTAAACGGTGCTGCAGGCGATGGTATTTCACTTTTAACGGTGCAGAATGTTCAACACCAGGTGCCATTGATGGATTGGTGTACATGCATGATGGAACTGGCAGCAGACTTAATGAAATGCTTCGTCATGGTCACATTGAGGGCGTCTGTGAAAAAATCCACAAGGGTACTGTGCGCGTTGGATTCTGGGTCGGCAATTGTGGTGGTTACGGATCTGCTGATGCTTACACAGGCTGGAACTCAGTGTCCCGGATCTACGTAGAAGAAGTACCTTCCTCGAAAGCTTAGCGACAGCAAGTGTCTGATTTTTTTTCTGAGTTTAAGGCTGAGTGTAAAGCCGGTCAAGCACAAGAATAATACGATTTAGCAAATAGAGATAAAAAATGGGGATTACTAGTATAAGTAAGCTGATTTAAATTTTGATCCTCATAGCTGTGACACGAAAGGTGAAGTGTTTAGTGACGTAATAAAAGGAATCTTAAAATGTAAATCAAAGCCTCCTTAATTTACACGACATTTGTATGTGAATTTGTTTCCTTACTCATTCGCCAAAACTCTTTTCTTTTTAAAGATTCAGTTATTAGACTACTTCATGACTTCGTTATTTTAGCTTTGTGTTGCACAGCAATTATTAAAGCAACATTAGAATTTAAATGCTTCTCATATACTGTACTTCCTAGAGTCAAGACAGATGAACATCCACCTTGTAGCTTTCAAATTAGACTTTGATCTAGGGAGTCTCTTTCGTCAACAAGAAAAAAAATGATACTGAATCAAAATACTATAACTACACTTTGGCGAACACGCACTTGATGTTGTTACGGTCACCATGACAACAGCCCGTTTTGAATTACATGGTCTCTGCTTTTTACATTCCGGTAAGCTATAATCACCACTCACAAGGAACATGGACACTTAACTTGAGAAAATGACTCCGAATTTTCCGTTGTTTTTTTATAAGCCCCCTTAAGTTGAAATCGCACGGCCAGTCCTAGTGCGAGGATCCCCAACCTTGGTTTCTCGAAATTTGAGTTTTGCCTTGTCTAAAGCTCAAGGTTTTGGATTTTAAAGGGAATTGGAAGCATGATTACAGAATCATAATATCCTATAAGATTCACGAAGCCCTGTTAGCGTAAAATTTTGACAAGCGACATGGCCTTGAAACGGCAACATAAAGGCAGATGGGTTAAAGCAGAGTACGCGGGTCATAAACCAGTTCGCAATATGTCCCAAAAAGGCACCAAGTAACTGCTGATCAGTCAAAGTCTTTAGCCAAGTAAAGGGATTTATTCATACAGTCCACTATCTGCTTAAAAGGGATCTACAGCAATCCCGTGAAATCAACATTGGTGGAAAGCAATACGTGTATTTGTCGCACAACTTAGTTTATCTTGTGTTTTGGACCCTGTTTTCACAAATTAAGACTGTAAGTCAAGGAACTTGAGAGGGATAAAGACACTTCTCATTTCATATACATAATTTTTTTCAGAGGTCGCATTTCCAGTTTTTTGCCGTTCCTTAGGTCAGCTTCGAGGATATGCGATGAACTTGTATGCCGGTAGGCACCAAATTGAAGCAAAGTTCGGAGGAGTGAGTCTTGGAAACAATATTTTTTGTAGTGAAAATTTAAGATGTCACATTTTCGTTCTCCTGACTCAGCAACGTTTCTGAATTAGCCTGTGAACAGGCTCACTTGATTTGGTTATCCAGCAAGTAGTGTCTTCTAATAGGGAATAAGAATAAATGTTACAAACTAGAGAAATCATTTGTTTTGACGTTCATTAAATTGCAATATCTAGAAATCGGCTTGAAATAAAATATGTTCTAAAAATCGTTTAGACGAGTGCGTGGGCCGGCTGCAACGCAGGCTAAAAAATCACGGTACAAGAGATTTGTAAAAATCCGAACGCACACTTACTTTTATTTTTTCGCTTGCTGCGAGTGGCTTTGAGGAAAGAAGGACGACTCGCGGTCTAAAGAAGAACTAACAAAAAATAAAATACTGATGAAATAAACGTTCTCAGTTACATCTCATTTGGTAATGCGAGATCAAAAAGCAAACAACAAAGGTCACATTAAAAAGTTGCATTTGATTGGTTGGTCGAACCAGCGAATAGCAGTTTTAGCGAATAACATTTCATGATAGAATGACGATGATTACCAGAATTCAATAATTTACAAACTTGAACCGACAATAACCTCATTATATGCAAAGAAAAGAAAACAGAGATCTCTTTACTTTAGGTATGAGAAACAAACTTTGACGATGGAATGGATATTCTGAAGGTAATATGTGGATCATATAGTTTACTCGCTATGTTTCATTTAACAGTTTTCCTTTTCTTTGATTGTTAAGAGTTCTACTTCCTTGAGAGCGGTTATGCATCCAATTATTCAAAGGTAAGTGAGTTTATTTATTTTGCAGTAAAAGCTTTTTTTTCTTCCAAACATAACCAGGATCACTGTCAGTATGTACGTGAACTATTTTCAAAAAGTTTACAGCAGTATATCCAGCGATAAGGGATAAATTCACGAAAATCAGTTGTTACTTTTAGAAATAAATCGGGGAGAAGTTATGAAGGGAAAAACTGACTGTAAGCAAAAACATCATTTAATTACATCCCTGATTGTAGATTACCCTTTTTCTAGAGGCAGTTACTGAGAGTTGTATTGTACTTTTGTGTCTATGGACAGACCTGTTATATGGTGACCCTATTCAAATGAAACGTATCCTGTGGCACTTCTGCACTGCTCTTCTTATTATGCAATGTAAACTAGTTTAATGTAAACCTTTCAGCTGACCTTTTAAGACTATGGAAGAAATATTCTTATTTGGCCACTCACATGAATCTTTCTTAAGCAGTGCTTTTGCGTGGCTTCATTTGCTTTTTCAGTATTATTAGAGGCGGTTAAACAATGCTTTCTTAGACTAATGTCCTTAGATGTTAAAATTGTAAGTCTTAGAGCCTTATTCCACATTTGAAGGGAATTCAAAATAGGTTAGTTCCAGACAGAAAACAACAAATATGTGTAATTAGACCGCTCCACAACTGGTTCATAGGGAAAAAAGGCACTCTTAGCGACAAGAAATGATTTCGATGCATCCACCTTTTAAGGCGCAACAAATAATTGTATTACTTAGTACATTTTAATTGAAGATTTACAGGTGGGATGGATGGACTTGCAATAGTCCAGTTTCGAATTAAAAATTACCGCTGAATACAAACATTTAGGACACATTCATACAGGGTTAGCCTCGACGTAAAGTAAAATATTCAGAAATTCTGGCAAGTAAGTGTTTGAAATTTGAATATACACAATAGACAGAGTAATAAACAGGTCTTTTTCTCGTTGGAATTTGTGAATATATTACTTCAGATGGAGGCTAAGGCTGTAAAAAATGCGTCTTCACTTCTTTAATTCAGCGGTCACAGCGAACTCGAAAATGGACTATTAGACGTAAATACGACCTATCGTTTTCAAAACATGTGGTTCTCTGTATCGCCCCATGTAAGGGAATCCGGATTCCGGAATCCAGGAATTTTTTGCTTGTGGAATCCGGAATCCTGGGCTTTGGAATCCGGAATCCAGCACTAAGGATCCGGAATCCTACTAAAGATTGGAATCCGGAATCCAACTTACTAAAGATCCACTCCAGATTAAATTGAGCTACTCGCTCGAAAGAAAAACCATCAGTTTATGGAAAGCCTTCCGAGGGTATAGACCTGAACGTGACGACATAATATCGGCATATCTGGTGTCAAAACAATAGTTCACGAGCTCCATATGAAAGGTCGAGGTCACGGTCACATGATTAAAATTCTATAATAGCGAAGGAACCCTTGCTTGTGAGGGGCTGGGAGGATCACAATAATTCGGGGGTTTTCAAGGGAACACAGCGCAGTTTTTTAAGGTATTGTTATGAATAACTTCGACTTCTGGTTATGTTTGATTCTCTGTTGTTCACTCGCTGCGCTGAACTTTAAAAAACAAAAGCGATTTTATGCGAGCTTTTTGACCTGGCATAGGACTGGAAAAGGTGCACCTGCGGTGAACGTCCTCCTGGTTCACAAATGAAAATAAACGTCTACGTTCAACAGTTTACCTAAGAAGAAAAAAAGGAAATTCACAGTCTCCTAGTGCCTAATTTGGTCATAGTAGTTTCGCTGAGAACAGTTTCATAGTTTCGATAATCTTTATTTGAGAAATAAGCCCGGAACTGTCAGAACCGTACCAATCAGCTCTCACCAAAGTAATCACGTGCGAGGACGCGGTGGGTGCCTTTTTCATTCATCCCCTAGCATAATCGAGCGAAATCTCGCCACCTCTTCGATCCGGGACCAGTTTGAAGCTTGTTGTTTGTTGGATTTTTCTTTTCTACCTTTTTTTTTTTTTTTTAAAAAAAGACGTTATTGGAAAGCACAAGGAAAAACAAAAGGCTGAGAGAAAAAGATACCTGTAATACTGTGTTGTGAAATTTAATACCAATTTTTAGCCGACTGCGATAGATCTAAACGTGCCAAAGGCAAAGCTGCATGATTTTTCGTTTATGTCGATCTGTGGACTGTACTGAACGTGGCGGCAAGCAAGTCACAATCATGAACAAAAGAAACGTTGAGTTTATAGTTTTAAGCCCGCTGATTGATTTTTTTCTCAATCATAATTGAATGTAATATAAATTTTACGTCGTCCTTGGGGGAAATATCGTATACATGAGCGCTATATAGTTGTAAACGCTTAAAACGAGCCAACGCGTCAGAAACGCGCAAGTCTCTCTCGATCTCTCAGTCATCTCAGACTCGATCGAGGATCAAACGGACTGTTCATGTTTTCTGGTTCTACAGTTGTGATTAGGCCTCGTTCGCATTGAGGTCGCTTTTGGAAATTAGACCGTAATTTTTCTTTGAAATGGATCCAAGAGCCACCTAGAACGCGCTAATATGAAATAAAACTCTCGGGGGATTTCATAATCTCATACTCAGATCTCTTACTTATTGATGAAGCCAAAGGCGAGATCTGGTAAAATCCGATTTTGTACCCGTGATTGCCTGTCAGGAATGTGACAGGCCATGAAAGAGCGCATGCTTGAAATTAATCCTCAATTTTTGACGTGTTAAACAACGAATTTGATGGAGCCGTGAAGTTTTTTCTTTCAAAAAGTGGTTATGCGCACATGACCAACTAATTTTGGTGTTCTTTTTGATCTTTTTAACATCAAATTCAACGCGACAAATAGCATATTTGGTGCCTTTGGCTTCGTCAACAAGAGATCTGGGTACGAGATTAGG